TTTTTGAATATTTCGCAATGGATAACACGTGTTGGTAAGGGTTGATGGTGGCAAGTGGTTTAAAACTGTAGTTTGCCCACACCATTGTGGAGGAAATACCCAATGTGCGTGTTTTGAGCAATATAGGTGAAGTCCTGCAACATTTTTAGGCAACACATGCCTTAGTAATCAATTATAGAGTACTTGTAATCGATTACAGAGTACTTGTAATCGATTACCAGGGACTAAACGACTATTTGTACAGAAAGTTGTTGGTCACTCCCTAGTTGGGAGAACGTCACTCCCCAGGGTCATTTTTTTTACATTAAGGGTGCTTTTTTGAATATTTTACAACGGATAACACGTATTAGTAAGGGTTGATGGTGTCAAGTGGTTGAAAACCGTAGTTTGCTCACACCATTATGGAGGAAAGACCCAATGTGAGTGTTTTGAGCAAGGTAGGTGAAGTTCTATAGCATATTTAAGCAACACATGCCCTTGTAATCGATTATAGAGTACTTGTAATCGATTATCAGGGACTAAAAAATTGTTTGTACAAAAATTCATTACTCACTCCCCACCTGGGAGAACGTCACTCCCTAGGGTCATTCTTTTGGCATTAAGGGTGCTTTTTTTGAATATTTTGCAATGAATAACACGTATTGGTAAGGATTGATGGTGGCAAGTGGTACAAAACCGTAATTTGCCCACACTATTGTGGAGGAAAGACCCAATGTGGGTGATTTGAACAAGGTAGGTGAAGTCATATAGTATTTTCAGGTAATACATGCCTTGGTAATCAATTATAGAGTACTTGTAAGCGATTACTAGGGACTGAAAGGTTGTTTGTAAAGAAAGTTGTTGGTGAGTCCCCATGGTCATTTTTTTGACATTAAGGGTGTCTTTTTGAATATTTTGCAATGGATAACATGTGTTGGTAAAGGTTGATGGTGGCAAGTGATTCAAAAACATAGTTTGCCCACACCTTTGTGGTGGAAAGACCCAATGAGGATGTTTTTAGCAAGGTACGTGAAGTGCTGCAGCATTTCCAACAACACATACCCTGGTAATTGATTACAGAGTACCTATAATGGATTACTAGGGACTAAAAGGCTATTTGTACAGAAAGTTGTTGGTCACTCCCCACCTGGGAGAACGTCACTCCTTAGGGTCATTTTTTTAACATTGAGGGTGCTTTTTTGAATATTTTGCAATGGATAACACGTGTTAGTAAGGGTTGATGGTGGAAACTGATTCAAAATCGTGGTTTGCCCAAACCATTGTGGAGGAAAGACTCAATGTGGATGTTTTGAGCAAGGTAGGTGAAGTCTTGCAGCATTTCCAAGCAACACATGCCTTGGCAATCGATTACATAACACCTGTAATCGATTACCAAAGACTAAAAGGTTGTTTGTACAAAAATTTGTTGGTCACTCCCCAACTGGGAGAACATCACTTCCAGGGTCATTTTCTTGACATTAAGGGTGACTTTTTGAATATTTTGCAATGGATAACACGTGTTGGTAAGGGTTGATGGTGGAAAGTGCTTCAAAACCGTAGCTTGCCCACACCATTGTGGAGGAAAGACCCACTGTGGATGTTTTGAGCAAGGTAGGTGAAGTCCTGCAGCATTTCCAGGCAACACATGCCTTGGTAATCGATTACAGAGTACTTGTAATCGATTACTAGGGCCTGAATGGTTGTTTGTATAGAAAGTTGTTGGTCACTCCCCACCTGGGAGAACGTCACTCCCTATGGTCATTTTTTTTTACTGTATAGGTGCTATTCGGGGTCGTTTTACGTTATGTAGTCCATTTTGTTATATGGTCGAGTGATTTTATTCATATAATTTTGTATTTACAACATTGGAGAAGAACTATCTTGTGGACTACTAGAGGCTTCTCCTACCTCATGCTCTTGATTGTCATCATCTCCTTTGTGAACCTATATTTCCTCAGCATTTTGTTCAAAACCAAATGATGCTATAACTTCGACTCCAATCCTATGTTTAATCTTAATTTGGGTAAAAGTATCAATGTCTGTAGGGACCTCAAAGTGGTCCATGAATATGGTAATCAAATGGGGATATGGTAGATGTGTGTTGTCCCTTAATGCTCTTTTCATCCTATGTCTAATGAGAGGCCCCCAGTTAATCTCAACGAAATTGAAAAGGGCCCACATCAACATAATATCCTCTTCTGTTGCTTGTGCAACATTGCTTGGACGTCGAACTAATATACGACAAAGAACGTAATGAAGTATCCTACTTTCAACCTTCATATTCCTGGCCATTATTCTAGTAGTGTGTATGTTTGCACTAAGTTTACAAATCAGTTTCCTAGCAGTTGCAAAATCATATTCCTCATTCCACACATCAAGAACAGTTCCTTCAAAAGGAAAACCAACAGAAGGGAGGGAAGTGAGTTCATGAAAAAGAGTTGGGTTTATTGTCATTTTCACCTTTTTCACCTGACGTCGAATAACTCCAGAATTGGAATTATGCATGTTATTGTAGAAAACTCGCACTAATTCAGGATAAAAATGTCTTATATACAAGACGAAATCCTTAAGCTCAACATTTGACAAGATATTGTAGAATTCAAAATTTTGACCTTCAAAGAATTCCTCATCAATGTATTTGCCTTTGACGATTGGACATCCATGGAGAAATTCTCATTACTTGTTGGTGGTGGGGACGAGGGTGGGCTATGGCAACGACGACGTCTTTGCTTTTTGTTAGTGTAGTTTGCTATTGGGGATTCGTTGGGATTTAGGATTTTGGAAGGGTGAACAAATTATGAAGGGTTTAGATATTTGAGGGGAAGTGAGACAGAGAAAGAGCTTTGATGGCACAAAGTGTTGTGGAAGAAAATAGGGTTTGAACAGTGGTTACATAGGAGGAGTATATAAAGCACATCACATTGTAATCAATTACAAGGTCTTTGTAATCAATTACAAGACCTCTGTAATCGATTACATATATTTTGTAATCGATTAGGACTGAGTTTTTTTGGATATCCCTATAATTTTGAAACACTGTGTAAATTGTGCACATGATTCCAATAACAGTTTTGGACAACAAAAGGAATTTTGACAAACAAGCAAACATTATATTATCTTGGATTACATGTATTCATTTGGACAACACTAATAGAACTAAGTAAACATAATCTAGAAATCATATACATAGAAGATGAAAATGATATACATCAAAATTGGGTGTTATCAACTTTGTTATGTACAGCTGATAACAAGGACCAAAACTCAACTGGAACCACTTCAGATAGTTGTGATTGTTGGTAAGGTAGGGTTCCATATTCGACGACCTTCTGGCTTTGTCTAACATCAAATGTTGTTGTTTCTTGATTAAACACAAGTACAGTTCAAAATACATATAACAAAGTGAATTAATAAATGAAATAGACAACCATTTTAATCACTCACAGTTTGTTGTACTGAAGCTCTATTACTAGTTTTCTGAGAACCGATTTTTCTTTTTTTAGTTATTCTTTCAACGATGGAGTTTAACTTGTTCGTTTCGTGGTCGGCCTTTCTGCTTCACAGTTGCGGGACTTGGACAAGTACATCACTACTTCCATCTGCAGTGCCAATTGGAGTAGCGGTCACCGGATTGTCATATCTAAGTTGTCCTCCCTCAATTATGATATTATTTCTCATTGATGAACTCAATCTCAACTTTTGGCAATGCAATTAAGTTATTTGTCCAACTCATCAGAAGCAGCTTCAGATTCATAGGCTACCACAACGATGTCGTGGAATCACTTACACAATTATTGGTATCTTTGCATTTTAGGTTCTTGATTCAAAGTATTGTACTGCTCTAATGAGTGTGTCTTTTACGAATATTTTTGCTTCAACGCCGTAGAACGTATTTTGACGACATCTTCTTGACCAAGTACCAATAGAGAATGACGACAAATTATACCTCTAAACTCAAACAATAGACAAGTGCAACTCATATTGTTTGTAACTGAATCAAAATCTACATGGTAATATTTATCGACACATTAACAATTTATCCTATCGAAACTCAATCTACATTTCTTTAAATTTGACATATCGTCTCTCAATTGGTGATTGAGAACCAGAGAAAACTCTGGTATTCAGGAAGGAGAAGTCAACTTCTATGATATTCAGGAAGGAAAAGTCAACTTCTATTTCTATTTAGTGATACTTGAATTTATAAATCCATGAAAGAAAGCATTCACTTCTTTTAGTTATCCACGTACCAACCTAAAATTGATGTTTCAAGTAACTGGATATTAACCCTCACTTGGGTGCAAATGGATTTTTCATGTTAAAGAAAACGTTGATGGTACTATCAATAATTATAAAGCACGGGTTGTAGCAAAGGAATTTCATCAAAAGTTACTAAAAACCAAACTTTGGTTGCTAGTTCAAGTGCTCAAAGAATTCCACATTGATGGTGATCCGACTTCCTCACCAAACAAAGTTTGTCTTCTGGGTTACAAACTCAATTACAACATTCAATCATTAAATTGGTTCAAATTTGATAAAAACTTATCGTTCATTAAAATAATAAAAATCGAATCCATATTCTAAACTTTAATTTAAAATCTTTTATCTTTTATTGTTAGATGGTTTCTAGATTATTATGAAGTACATCCCAATTTTATAATTTCATTTTTAAATCAAATTTTAAATATTACAATATTTTTACACTTTAAAATATATATTTATATAATGTTAATGTTTTATTATAATCGGCTTTTTATCTAAAAAATAGAAGAGTTAGAAAGAACGTGTGGAAAAAAGAAAAATATATTAAAAAATATCGTAAAATCTTAATTTAAAGCTAATTTTGATATTCCAAAAATGCGTTGTAATAAAAATTATTCAGAAAGATCATTCAAATAAGTTTAGTATGATTCAATTGATCTCAAATCATTTTACATTACATTTATTTAATAAATTTGATAAAAAAGTATAAAAATTGAGACTCAAATTTCGAAACAAAAATGAAAACGAGGAGAGAATGTGCTCAGAAGGAATATTGAATGGATGAGAAAAGCTATCCTCATGAATGATTTATTCATCAGATTAACGAGATTATCGATCTCATCATCATAGCACCTTCTCCCCTCACAGTTTCAATTCAACAAACAAAACGCACAAATAATTAGGTTTATAATAGGAAACGAAGAGATAAAAAAAACGTACAAATTGCTCTCTAGCGATTCATCCCTGAGAGGCGTAACCATTGCTAGGGTTTTGAGATTCTAACTTCTTGTTCTCAGAAGCCGTATTTATAGCAACACCCATCTCTTAAACGCTCCACCGTTTCAGCTTTTTCGGTATTTGAGAACTCACTCACGACGTCGTTTAGGTTATTAGCCCTGAAACAACACGTCGTTTAGCTAGGCATTTAATAAACTGCGTATTTTTGTTTGGAGGCCCTTCGCATAGAATAGAAAATGGGCCGGCCCAATTCATTCGCTAGCCATGAGTTCAGTGTAAGTACTTCTTCCCAGAAGGGAATCATATATATATATATATATATATACTAAAATATAAATATTTTTAATTTAAAAATAATAAAATATAATATGTATGCATACAAAAAAATGTATTATAATTCTTAAAAGTGTGCTAAATATATAATTATTTTTTGTTAATCCAAATTAAAATTATATGTATATTAAAGTTGTTAGCATAAATTATAAATCATTATCATATAACAGTACTATTTATTTATTCATTAGATATTTTATTAATATTTTGTTGATAAGTATGAATAAATTATATTGAAGTATTGATATATGATTAAATTAAAGTATTGGAACATAATTGGTCATATTGAGATTTGCTTCTCCTTGAAACAATTGGTACATATGGGGATGTTATTAATCTAGAACGTGCGGCGTTATGTTGTAATAGGGTTGCTTCCTCACTATGTTCTTAGATGCATAAAAAACAACTAACTCTATATCAAAATATTGTCTCCTCGATACTCTGTTATCCGGATATAGCCTTCTAAATTGTTTTTTCCCTTGAATTCTATAAACAGAACATGCATGTGGCCCAAACTATTAGTGATGGTAGGGGTTAAGATTTGAGAAAAATGTTTTATTATCAAACTTTCCATCTGTGATTGGACTTATTTTACTACAAAATTAAAGAATTAATTATAATTTTAGTTCTTGAATTTTAATAAAAGAATTTAGAATTTTTATTTAAAATTTTAATATATTTTAATGTTAAAATTTAAAAAATAGACAAATACATTTTTAACTTAATTATATTAATTTTTTTTACATATCAAAAGCATTTTCAATTAATATTAAATCACTAATATGTCAAACACAAATAACATAAAAAGTGTTAATCATTTAAACAAATTAATATAATTAGATTAAAAAGAATATAATTATTTGTTTTTAAATTTTTTTAAGTTTATAAATCAAAATATAAGTTTGAGACGAATTTTAAGATTAAAAATATATTTAATCTAAAATTCAATTTAACTTTTGTTTGTGGTGGTGAACTAATCTATTTATCCTTTATTTCTACCTTTCGTAACGTAGGTTAATAGAATGGAAAATAATCTATTACCTTTATCTTCATCATTCCCTAAACTAGTTCCACAATCTTCCACACTTTTCATCCATATAAAAATAACTTTTTAAGTCTTTTTAATTTTCAAATCCGATAAATTCAATTGTTACAAATCTTACTCAAATAAATCATTAAAGGATAAGAATTGTATCAAAAGTTTGAATTTAGACCATAAATATGGTCATAAATATGCAATGATCAATTAGTCTGAACATTCTATTGTTTCTAGTATATAGTCATCAACTTTACATCCTCTAATCATTGGTAAGACTATAGATTTTCACGGTGGATAATTGCCTCTTTTCAATTTGATGGAGATTGTAGAAGGTAGGTCATTTTCTTGTTAGTCGAGGATGACGTGATGATTGTAATTATTTGCTTGATAACTCTTATACCAAGATAAAAAATGATATTAAATATAATAATTTGCATTGATAATGTATTGTTTAAATACAAGGAGTAATTCATAATTAAGATCCTATAATTATAGTAATACAAATAAATATTTTCTTAATAATACTTGCCAGAATCAAGAATAATAAATAATAAAATATTTAAAATATTTGATTCTATTTACCACGGAAACACTAAAGATCTCAAAAAGTACCGAGAAAGAAAGAGAAAATTGAGTGAACAAAAACTTCAACACATTCACCTGGAATAAAAGCCACACAAAGAAGACAAAACATGAAACTAGAAGTGCGAAATGAATATGCAACATGGATATGAAAATAGAGACTAGAAGTGCGAAATGAATATGCAACATGAGAATGAAAATAGAGGATAATACATAGGTTCCTAGTTTCATGGAATATATGTTCTTTTTTCCTAAATCTTAAAAAGCATATTAGATGAGTTTCCTATACCAACCAATGTAGTAACTTTTTAAAAAGAAATTATTTTATAAAAAAGGATTAACATCGGTTTGAGAAACAAATCAATGTAATATTCTTTTATTACATCAGTTTAAATATCAACCACACTTTAAAGTTTCTTATAATTACAATCATACTATCTTATTTCTCTTTCACATCGATTTCGCCAAAACCAATATAAATTGTCATTGTGATTTCAATATTTTGCACTAGTACTAAATACTGTGTCCTTTGAAATAGCAGCGTATCCATCCCATTATATTAAAAATTCTATTAGACAAAAGAACCTGCAGAAATTATTAAAAGGTGTAAAATATATGTCTAGTTTGAATTCAAGTTTCAAAAATTGACTTTGAATTCTTGTTTATTGCTGCGTTGTGGAAGGATCTAACAGTTTATATGAATTTAATTTCCGTAAATACTGTTTGAGTGGTACTAAATATTATTTTGATATTTTGGAGAGTAATGAATTTTGTAAAGACCAAGCTTGGACATAAATTCCACATATAAGTCCAAAATAAAGAGTATCTTTTGTAACATCTAAAAAATACAGTATAAAATTATATAATAAAATAATCACATGTTAATAATATTACAGATCAGTCTTACAAAAGATAGGACGTACGCTTATGGCCGAACGGCCTTACAAAATAACGAGAAAGTTAAAACTGTACAAATAAGCAATTTAGACCGAACGGTTTACAAAAGGCCTATACCGAACGGTCATACAAAAGAAAAAAATAAAAGATGATCGAACGGTCATCGTACAATTAAACTGACTACTAACCAAACGGTTCTACTGTTCGGTCTTAACTTCTACCTCGACCAAACTTTCTTCTTCCAGCGCTTCTTCTAGCATCTCTTCTCCTTCTGCTCACATCCACACGGATGATCATTGCAACAGGACAAACGACCGAACGTACAAAACGGACAAGACAGGAAAATAGGGTAAGCTTATGTAATTTAATTCATGTATCAACATATATTTCACACAATCAACTAAAGAAGATAAATCATTAACTCTTTCATGCAAAGCCTAATACTAGACTCTGACTGTCCGGACTGTATGAATTCTGTGTAGCTACGACGTTCGTGCACCCGGGTGATGTAGTAACTGGGATACCCTCAACAGTTGTCACCCGAGGTTAGTCCTATCTGTCCAAATTAACCATAAGGACTAGGATCTCCTGCCATTCCCACACATGACTTACCCTTCTCTACGTGAGAACGAGTAATCACGGAATATCAGGATGATCCGCTAGCTTAGTGTGCCCACATTCATACTTTACCAATTCCAATATCCATTCATGAGATATTCCTCCCCGGAATACTTTTTCATAATCAAAGTCATTTCATCCATATCATATTCCATCATCTTTCATCATTAAAACTTCAACTTAACCAATTTGAATAAAGATCCCGTAGGATACCAAATACCGAACGTTAGTTTTTTTATCCAGAACAAGACCGAACACTTGGAGTGAGACCGAGATGTCTCCAACTCAAACATAATCAAATTGAGAGAGTTACTCACTAGTTGTGAAAAGGACCGAATATAATAATACTTCTCAGAGACTAATATAATCGAATGTTGTTTACCAAGTGAGCCAATTTAATGAACTGACTCTTGAGAGTTCAAACCGAACACCGTAAAGCCTAGACCGAGCACTAAGACTCTAGGCCGAAACCAATTAAGACAGATACTGTAGGACATCAAATAATAGCACTTGACGGAATCATATGAAGAAACCGAACACCAATAAATACTTAGCTTCTTAATGAGTTAAACATCAAGGAAACCGAATGTCAGTCAAAGACCGGGCACTGTAGAGAGCGAACACTATATTGAGTTTGGACGAACGCTCTTATTATAAAGATAGATTACGAAAATGAGAACTAGCGCTAGGTGTAAGACCGGGCACTTACTTAGTACGAGCGCTTGGTGTAAGACCGAGCACTACTTAGTACGAGCGCTTGGTGTAAGACCGAGCACTACTAAACTTATAGAAGAAAGGCTTGATAAATATAATAAGATACAATTTAAATAGTGTTAACGAACGAACAAAATATACAAATACATATAGATATACTTAAGTTTAACATCAAACACCAAGGAACGAATATCCTTGGTTGAACGCTTATATACAAATATTACAGAACAAAGAAGCTCGGTCCTCAACTGGAATTCTTTCCAAATGAAAGAATCCAGTTTCAACCGAGTCCACAGGAAAACCAAACGGTCAAAGATCTTCAGTGACGAACATCAATTTTCACATAAAACTCTAGACTTAGAATTCATAATCTTATCAATACATTTCTCAACATCTATCTTCATACATTCATACATCCATATCATAGTAAATATTCACACTTCATACAGTCAAAACATATCAACAATCATACTTCATATTCATTCAGAAATCAACGAACATTCATCCATTCAAAACAAGAATCTTAATCAAATTATATAAGCTTTCCTTACCTCTAAGCGTGACCGAACGTTCACAGTTCAGAATACGGGTTCACCTTTGCAAGAGACCTTAGCGTTCTACAGTCACGCCTTAAGAAACTAAACCAAACAGAAATCCAGAAACTCTCAGAACAAGATGATTGACTCATGCAACCCTTAAACTAGGTTTGCA